GTCCCCCTCCCCCCCCACAAAAAAAATTACAAACCAATCTACCTCATTAATATAAACGCAAAAATCTTTAGCCCAATAATAAATAGAATTGAGCAATATATAACAAGAGTTACACACCATGACTAAGTGAGGTTTAGTCCACAGATGCAGCAATAGTACAATATTTGCAAATCAAGGTAATCCACCATATTAACCAGCTAAAGACAAAATCATATAATTATATCAATCGATGCAGTGAAACCATTTGTTAAAATTCAACAGTTATTCATGATGGAAAATTCTCGGAAAAACAGGAATAGGAGGAAACTTCCTCAATCAGGTACAGCTAACCTTGTACTTGATGATGAAAGACTGAATGTGTTCCCCCTAAGATCAGGGAAAAGGCAAGGATATTCACTCTTATCGCTCTTATTTGACATAGTTCTGGAAGTCCTAGCCAGTGCAATATAAGGCAATAAAAGGAAATAAAAGACATATACGGACTGGAAAGGAATAAATAAAACTTCTTTTCTGTAAATGACATTGCTGTCTACAGAGAAAAGCCCAAGGAATCTATGAGAAAAGCCCAAGGAATCTACAAAAAAAAAAAACAAAAAAAAACCCACAACCAAAACCCCCAACAAACAAACAAACTCCTCTTGTACTTAATAAGTGAATCTAGCAAAGTCCTAGGATTCAGGAGAAACATACAAAAATCAGCTGTATTTCTATACATTAGCAATGAACACGATGACACCAAAATTAAAAAGACAATACCATTTACCATTGCTAAACAAAAAATGAAATACTTAGGTGTAAATCTAACAAAACATGTACAGGACACTTATGCAGCAAACTATACAGTGTTAATGAAAGAAACCCAAAGAAGATCTAAACACATGGAGAGACATACAATGGTCCCCCCCTTTATCCTCAGGGGATATATATTCCAAGATCCCCCCCATGGACACCTGCAACCACAGATAGTACCAAACCCTGTATGTACTGTGTTTTTCCTAAACATACATACCTATGATAAAGTTTAATTTATAAATTAGGCACAGTAAGAGATTAACAACAATAACTAATAATAAAAAAGAACAATTATGATACATACTACAATAAAAGTTATGTGAAAGCGGTCTCTCTGTTTCTCAAAACATCTTCTACCCTTCTTCTTGTGATGATGTGAGATAATAAAATGACTGCGTGATGAGAAGTGAGGTGAATGACATAGGCATTGTGATGTAGCATGAAACTACTTTCGACCTTCTGAGATACATCAGGAGGAGGAGTGTCTGCTTCCAGACCGTGGGTAATTGAAACTGGAAAGTGAAATCCCAGATGCGGGGTAGAGGGGACTACTGTACTATAGTAATGGATTGGAAAACTCGACATAGTAAAGATGTCAATTTTTCCTAAATTGATATATGGGTTCAGTGCAACACCTATCAAAATCAGAGCAATGCTTTTTTCATAAATGTAAATGAGATTATTCTAAAATTACATGGATTCCAAAGGAATTGGAATAGCTAAAATAATGTGTAAGGAAAAATAAAGTGGGAGTAATCAGTCTAACCAATTTTAATCAAGCCTGTGAGATATTGGCAGAGGGATAGACACATAGATCAATGGAACAGAAGAGAGAACCCAGAAATGGATCCACATAAATATGCCAAACTGTTTTTTGACAAAGGTGAATGTGCAAAATTCAGTAGAGGAAAGGAAGGCTCTTAACAAATGGTGCTAGAGCAACTGGACATCCATAAGCAAAGAGTTAACTCTGATCTAAGCTGCATAAGCAAAAAGTTAACTCTGATCTAAGCTGCATATCTTGTACAGAAATTACCTCAAAATGTATTATTTTCTCTTTTTTTTTTTTGATATTTTTATTATTTATTTATTTGAGAGAGAGTAAAAGCAGGAGCAGAGGGGGAGCAGCAGAGGGAGAGGGAGAAGCAGACTCTCCGCTGAGCAGGGAGCCCGACATGGGGCTTGATCCCAGGACTCTGGGATCATGACCTGAGCCAAAGGCAGATGCTTAACCGACTGAGCCACCCAGGTGCCCCCCTTTTTTCCCTTAATTTTTAAATTTATTTATCGAAGTGCATTGTTGACTTAAATGTAAAATAAAACTTTTAGGAAAAAACCTTGATAGAAAATTTCTGGGTCTGGTCTCGGCAAAGAGTTCCTAGACTTAACAGCAAAAGCATGATCCAGAAAAGAAACACTGATACACTGGACTTCACCACAATTAAAAACATAGGCTTTTCAAAAGACCCTGTCAGGAGAATGAAAAGACAAGCTACAGACTGGAGAAAATATTTGCAAACCATGCATCCAACAAAGGAATGGTAGCTAGAATGTATAAGCAACACTCCACACTCAAGTTAGAGAGCAAACAATCCAATTAGAACATAGGCATAAGACATGAAGGGATACTTCACTGAGTCAGATATACAGATGGCAAATAAGTACACAAAGACCTGTTCAACATCGTTAGCCATCAGGGAAACACACATCAAAACTGCAGTGAGATGCCACTACTCATCTATCCGAATGGCTAAAATGAAAAATGGCGACACCACCAAATGCCTGTGAGGATGTGGGGAAACTGGAGCATTCATGCATTGCTGGTAGTAATGTAAAATGGTCTAGCTACTCTGGAAAACAGTTTGGCAGTTCTCAAAAAACTGCAAATGCAACTATCATATGACCCAGTAATTGCACTTCTGGGCGTTTATCTGGGAGAAATGAAGGCTTGGACTCAAACAAAAATCAAAACATGAATGTTTATAGCACCTGTATTTGTAATAGTTAACAAGTGGAAACAATCCAGATGTCCTTCAACAGATAAATGGTCAAACTGTGGCACTTCCATACCATGGACTACTACTCAGTAAATAAAAAGGTATCAACTAACAAATGTAACAACCTGAATGAATCTCCAGAGAATTATGCTGAGTGCAAAGCCAATTCAAAAAAAGTTGCATATTGTATGATTCCACTTATATAGCATCAGTGAAATGACAAAATTATAGAATTGAAGAACAGATCAGTGGTTGTCAGGGGTTAAGGAGAGGGTGAGGGTAGAAAGTGGATATGCCTCTAAAAGGACAACATGAGGTATCCTTGCGTGCTGGAAATGTTCTCTATCTAGACTTGTATGTATCAATGTCAGAACCATGGTTATGATACTGTATAGTTTCCATAAGATGTTACTACGGGAAACTGGGTAAAGGGTACACGGAATCTCTCTGTATGGTTTCTTAAAATTGTGAATCTACAATTACTTCAAAATAAAAAGTTTAATTAGGAAAACATTAGTTTAAAACTCTGAGGATATAAAAGGCTATAGGCAATTACTATGAATTATAAAAAGCAGACTGAAGTATCTCAATTTAAAAAAATTGAAATTAATTTCAGGTACTATTTATTATTAAGTCAAATTTTGGTTATGAATTGAGGAATGGAAGGGAAAGAAATGGGTTTTTGTTCACAAATCCCAATTCAATTTCCAGGAGAAAAACCTATGAAGATACAGACAAATCTATGTATCTGAAATAAACCTCAGCTCTTAAAAATTTTCATTTTAAGAAGGTTCTAAGAGAAATGCATTCCTTTATAGTTGTCTTTTAAATGTTATCCGGACCCCTCGAAAAAATATATGGCATTTTTAATCAAAGTGCTTCCTTCACAGAATAGCTTATTCCAGAGAGTGGGTCACAGGTGCAGTTGGGGTGGGGGGGATAGAGATGGAGGAGTTGAAGGCATTTGTGGTAGAAGGAATGAGGCTGGGGGAAAAGCTGGGACAGCTGGCCAAAGAGACAGTGGCCAGGCTTCACACCAGGTCTCTTGATGCATCATCGACTTCTTCACCCTGCATTCAAATCCTCGTTCTGTCTCCTTTTATTGAACTTCAAATAAATCACACAATCTCTGCCACAATTTCCTCCTCCTCAAAAACGGAGATAAAATTTTCTACCTCCCATCAAACAGGATATTTGCAAGGATAAATATCTGTACAGCTTGGAAATGTTTGAAAGAAAGGTCCCAAGAAATTGTATCTGCAAAGGTGGTTCATTTAAAACATTCCATTGAAGTTCATTTTATATGAGCAAACTTGCATAATGGAAGACAGTAATTTCGAAGGAGACTGGAGGAAAGAAAGACAAAATGAATGAGATTTAAACCAAGTCAGTATCTCGTCTGTATCTCCTCAGTTGTCCTCAGGTTACTGGTGGCAAGTTCAGCATTACCAAAGGCATGTGGTGCCCCAATCCACTAGCAAAACCATCTCAATAGAATGGATTCGCCACAGCAGACCTTAAACGGTTGAAAAACGAAACGAATAAGAAATCAAAATCTCACAGGCCTGCAGATCCACTAGGGACCTGGGGAGTGGTCTGCATCATGACACTGAAGAATGTTAAGAGCTTGGAAATAAGCAATGCGCCTCTTAAATTTCATTTTACCTGAACTGAAGCACGAATTGAGTTTTCTCTGATATTTTAGTTACTCATTCAGGTCTGTCTGCCTGCACTTGAAAATAAGCTCTTTGACTGCAAAAGTCACAATTCACACTCATCTTTCTACGTCCCCTAGTCCATAACTTTGCATGTAGTTGGCACTCTGCAAATACTGAATTGAACAAATGTGTACAAATATTATCTATTACTCAGAGTTTAAAGGAATATATTTAAGATGCTCCAAAAGAGAGGTCCACTCCCCCACCCCCGGATATTTATTTAGCCTCAGCCTTTTAACTTATTGAACAAGGTTTTCATCAGTTTCTCGATTTAGAAGAAGCTAAGTTATGTAAATGGAAACTTTTACTGATAATCTGAAAAAAAAAAAAAAAAGCTTTCAAAGATAAAGCCTGAGCCTGGAAGGCCAGGGGGTGAGAACAGAGAAACTTTGAGCTTTGATTGACAGCAGGCGTCACAGCCTGCTTCTTGCCAGTAATTCGTTACTGGATCTTTTTTTTTTTTTTAAGTTTTAATTTTCTAATATTTACTCACCAGTATCCAGTCTTGACTTGATATGCTGATACCTTGGATTTTGTGGTATTCTTTTGGTCAGATACTAAAAAATAAGAAAATTCACAATTAATTGAGTTAATGTAAAAATAAGGGCAACAAAGGTGGGAAAGAATCAGATATTTAAAAAATAGAACAGATGCTAAAATTTCATCCAGTTTAAAGAAGGAAGGCGCTCTAGAGGCCCAACTGTCCCCTCAATCGAGGACTCGTCAGCATTTCCACAGGTGAAGATGGTTATCTTGTTTCTGTCAAAATATTTTCATTTTTTGTCAAAATAAAATCATAGCACACTGTAATTCGGGGGAAAAAAAAACTCTTAAAAAATTATTTCTGACATTGAGCCAAATTAGTCTCCCTCTAAGTTCCATCCAATCCACTGTGACAACCCAGAATAAGACACGCCCCCCCCACACCCCTGCCTCAAGAAATCTGTGAAAATAACTAAAGACAGCTCTCTCACCCTTCTTTTTAGTTTTACTCTTTGCACAACAATTTCTAGGCCATCTCCTTTGGACACGCTCTAGATTTTATCCACATCTGCCCTGAAAAGTAGCACTTGGACCCAGACCTGAGCACCATGCCCAGATGCCGCCGGGCCAGGACCCGGTTTGGCAGTCCTCCCCTGCTGCTTGCCTGGAGTCTGAGGCCCCACAGATGTCACCATGATGGCATCTGCTCTCGGGGCAGCCGAGGCTCATCACAGGCCCAGGGTGAATTTGTGGTCATCAAAAAATGGCTATGTCAGGTCTCCTTGTCCTGTACTCAGGGAGTGAACTCTTAAGTCCAAGCACAAGACATTTACACATATTAAGTTTCAGGGGCATTGGCGAAAGCCATTCAAGTGAGGGAAGGCTGGTGAATTGACATTTCAAGATACAGCTTTCTTGCTCAGGCCTTTTCTGGCCTACAAGGATGAACATCATATGCTCAGTCATAGGCAGCTGTAGAATATGAAATTAAAACTGGCCAATACATTTCTGGCTTCATCTCCCGTCCCTCACACACGTTCCCATGTTGACGTTGCCTGAGCGCTTCCCTAACTTGCTGCGCTCACTCAAGTCTCCAAGGCTTAGCAAGCGTCTGCCTAGAATGCCTTTCCTTGACTTGTCCTTGGGCAGAACCTTACTTTCTCTGTAAGCTGTCCGAGGTGGAATCAGGCATTTCTTCTCCCTGGCTCCCAGACTACCCTATACTATTGTTTACACCCCGAGCTGCTTCTCTAGATTTCCTCGAAGGCAGGGACAATGACTTATGCATATCTGTATTCACCCAGGACCTAGTATGTGGTAGGCACATTTACTGATATGGAGTCAACAAGTGAGTATCTAGAATGCAAAGTATAGCAGCATCTGGGTGGCTCAGTCAGTTAAGCGTCTGCCTTCGGCTCTGGTCATGATCCCAGGGTCCTGGGATTGAGCCCCACATCATCAGGCTCCCTGCTCAGCAGGGAACCTGCTTCTCCCTCTGCCTGCTGAGCTCCTTCTCTGACAAATAAATAAATAAAATCTTTAAAAAAATATAGAGTGCAGAGTATCTTATAGTAATTACCTGGTTCCTTGGAAGAGAACACCAAACTTTATTATTATTTTCAAAAACTCTTTTTATTTATTTATTAACTAATCTCTATACCCAATGTGGGGCTTGAACTCAGGACCCCGAGATTAAGAGTCATTTGCTCTACTGGCTGAAAGAAAGAAGAAGAAAAAAAAATCAGGTGGAGAACACCAAACTTTAAAACCCGTATCATTTGCCCTTGAAAACACAGTTAACTACAGCATGTCCTGCTGGCCAGAGTTTTAGATTTCAGAGACCAGGAAGAATTTTTTAAAACTGGGGGCACCTATAGAGAAAAAACAACTTTTAATTTTGCCAAGAAAGGACATTAAAAAAAAAAGCACAAAACCTCATAACTAGCACCTGCCATTTTAATACCTAAAAAGTAAGGAAGAAAAAAAAATCCCAGAATAAAAAGATTGGTCCTTTAGTGTTATTAAAAAACTCGTGACATTGTCTGTGTTTTCCATTTCACTCCAGGCAAGTGAATACTTAGCATTGGGCCTCAGATGTGTGTGTGTATGTGTGTGGAAACCCTGAGCTATTTCATTCCTAGAGAAAGACTGGAAAACTCCGGTCTCCATCTGTCCAGTAACCTGCTGTCTTTAAGAGAAATCGACTCTAACATCAATTCCAACTCCTTCCTAGATGAAGACAGAAGATTCTTCAGTGAGAGAAGGGAAATATTTAAAGACTGAAAAGGGGAACTTTAGAATAAGATCCCCCAGAGGAAGACAATATCATAGCAAATCAAATCTAAAAAACCCAAAAATGCAAACAAAAAAAACAGGGAAAACATGCATCTGGTAAACTGAGTCAAGAAAAGCTAATAGTAGAATTCCGTTATCTTAGGCTAAGGGATTTTAATTTTTTTTTGTACTCTGTATTTTCATAATTTCTATATGCTATTTCCTGTTTTTACTTTTGTTTTGTTTTGTTTTCCACTAGTTTCCTAGCAAAGTGTCTTTTGAAAAACTCCAGGCTAGTCTCTGCTGAACCAAGGGGATTTGTCCATACCTAAGCCAACATAGCTAAGAAGTGAGGATGTCTCTGGGGACCAGGTGTGGTGGCAGCAGAATGATGGGGGGAGAGAGTGTGGACAGCTGCAGTCGCTGGGCCCTTCCTGCCCCCGGTTTTCCCTTACAGAGACTAATGAGAAATCCATATGCTGCAAGTAGAAAAATGTAGTGTCTCTTTTCCATTTTCCCCTTTTGGACCCACTCCTTGTTCCTGACCTTCTAGTGCCAACCACAACGTAAAACTTGGTGCTTCACTCTAAGCAGACTACCATAGATTTTATGGAACTGCCATACTTTTTTCCTTAAAATTCTTGCTTTGGGGGTGACTGTTTCTTGACCTACTGACCAACTGGCTTTTTTCAATTACATAAACAGGATGGAATGGTGGAAAGTGAAAGAGCTGAGAAAAGAAGCTGTTTCGAGGACTATTCATTCATTCAACAAAGCCTTATTGAGCACTAACCATTCGGGCAACATTTACTGGAGGAGTGAGCCGCTCTGCCGAGGACACACAGCCATCCAGTTCTTGGTGGTGCTGGGAAGGAAGACAAGCCAACAAAGAGATACCACACTACATGATGAAAAGGAGAGGGAAGCAGGGAGTGCAACAGGAGATTGTGGGATCGGGACCTGATCCTGAGTAAAAGAGTCAAGAACTATGTCCTGAGCACTGACTTCTGGGCCGAAATCTGATGGCCAAGAGAATTAGTCAGACTAAAGGAGTAATGGGTGGAAGCGGCGGGGTTTCTGGGTAGACCTGAAGCATAGAGGGCATCATGGGGTCAGATGAGGCTGAAGAGGCAGGGAGGGCAGTTCCTAAAGGGCCTTGTATCCACACTAAGAAACCAGGATTTTTTTCCTGTAGATGGCAATTTTGCTCCCCCTGCTCCCGGAGACGACTGTCAGTGTCTGCAGATATTCTAGGTTGTCAGAACTGGGTGGTGGTGGTGGGGATGCTACTGGTATCCAGTGAGTAGAGGGTGGGGATGCTGCGAAACATCCTACAATGACAGGGAAGTCCCCCACAGCAAAGAATGAGCTGGCCCCAAATGTCAATAGTGCCGAAGTTGAGAAACCCTAGTGCAGATGATTGGGGAGTCATCGAAGAAAGTTTAAGGAGAAGTGATGGGATTATCTTTCCATTTTAGAAAGCTCACTTTGGCAGCATTCTGGAGAACTAATAGGATCATTGTCAAGGATGGAGGCACGAAGATCAGTTAAGAGGCAGTTGTGCTAAGAAACATCTGTGGTGCTAAGGAAGTGACAGTAGACATGAGGAAGAAGAGACAGTTTTAAGAAATCTTTAAAGATGTAAAATCAATATGATTGAAAACTGACTGGTAGAACAAGGGGAGGACAGTGATATCATTCCCCAAAAAAGGGACTTAAGGAGGAAGCATCAGTTGAAAAACATAATGTTTTTCACATTGAGGCATGTTGAGTATGCGGTATCTGCGGGTTGTCCAAAATGGAAGTGGTAAGCTGGCTGTTTGGGTCTGAGATCAGGAGAGAAATCTGGGGTTGCAGAAATAAGATCTGGGGGTTGTTGGACAAAATCACCATCAGAGATTGTGTAAGACGGAGAAGAAAAAACCCCAGCACTTAAGGTCAGGTAGAGAAAAGCACTGTGCATGAGATTCACGAGAGGCCAAAAGAAAGTGGGTAATGAAAATTAAAGAAGAGTTTCAGGAAGAAGGGAGTGGTCAACAGTGATCAATGCTGTCAAGTCTGAGAACAAGAGGTCAAACATGAACAAGTGAGCAAGAATGCAGGTCAAGTAAGAGAATAACAAAGTAAGTTTGGATTGAACAAAGCAGGACACTGTTGACGACCCTGGTGGATGAGGTTACAGTAAATTGACAGAAGCAGAAGCAAAAACAGCAGGTTGTATGAGACGGGGAGGGAGGAAAGAAGATAGTAGCCAGATGGCCTTTTTTTTTCCTTGAGAGTTGCGAAGGAATTAGTTTTTGTTGTTGCTTTGTTTTGTTTTGGAAGAAAGGAGAGATTTGAGGATGTTTAGAGGCTAGATAGGAGGCGTTGGAAATGAAGCAGGAAGGTATGGAAAGGAGGGAGTGGGAGAGGATGAGGCCCAGAGCCCAGGTGGAAGGTTCAGCTTTGGTTATGTATTTAAGGTAAAGATATCAGATAGGTGGTCATGATGAAGTTTATCAGGAGGAGGGAGGAGGCTGAGAAGGTTCATGTCTGTGGTATTATCAGTGAGCAATGAAAAATGTCAAAGACCATTTGAGGGTTTACATCCCTAGAAAGGGTCCAAAGATAATGTCCTCCCTGTCTACCCATGACATCCCAGCGACTTCATTTCTACTCGGCTTTCAAGACCCAGCACAGACATACCTTCCGAGAAGACTACTGTGAAGGCCCCGGGCAGATGGAAATCTCTTTCCTGCCCAGACTATGGCAGCACTTTGTACGAATCACTCTCCTCCCTTCCTGCGCTTGGGACATGGCT